TGGTTTTGGTCCCTTGAAAAGACTCAGCCAAGCCCTGGGGCTGGAGCGCCCCCAGGGGGCAGGGGGCGCAGAGGGGGGAGCCTGGCATCGCCACCTGCCTTCCTCTTGGGCTTTCCACAATGCAACGGAGCCCCACGATTTGTCTCTGCTGCCCTGATCGCGGTGTGTGTCCCCCCCGCTCCGTTGGCTTTGCCCTGCGTGCTGGGAGGGGGCTGTGAAAGGCCGGGCTGTGGGGACGCCTGCCGGCTCCCAGCCCCCCCAGCAGCTGCTTCAATTCCTCTTGGAGGTGCCCTGCTAATGGACTTCCAACGCTGTGTTAAATGGCCACAAATTGCTCCTGTTGGCCCACTCCAGCCGTTCCCAGGCTGCCTCCCCTTTGAGGCGAGCAGGGAGGTGCGAGGGGCACCCTGCCTCGGAGGTGTTTGGTGCTTTCGCTTCCCCGTGTGAAAAGCCCCAGGGCTGCGAGGTAACAGGCCAGTAACCAGCAGCGCAGGGAGCAGGCGGGGAGCGAATACACCCACAAATGATGATCTTAGTCGCTAGCCTTTCCTTGGCGAGCAGCGAGGCAGTGGGAGCCTGGCTGAGCGATGGGTATGGGGGGGGGGCAGGTCCAAGGGAGGGGTGAGCCCCCAAGGGGAAAGGAGACACAAGGCACAGCTGGGAAGCATGGGCTGGACTGAAGCCGTGGGCCGCTCAGGCTGGGCTCTCCAGCATCAGGCTGTGGGATCAGACAGCGCACTGGGCCCAAGCCTCACCCCCAACTCTCCCTGCTTTAACCCCTGACATCCCACTCACCTCCTAGAGGGGGTGGAAACCAGGCGTCCTGGCTCACAGACATCCTGCTATGGTGGTTGCGGTGAGGATTGAATCCCAGTGGGTTCCCTGTGGCTAGTGAGCTCTCCTGGTCGTCCTGGGCGATGGCTAACGAGCTCGTGATGCTTACAGCTCACAGACAATGCAGGGGCGGAGGAACTAGCAGATCTGACCTAGAACCTACTAGCCCCCCCTCCCCCCCCTCGCAGACACCCTGAGCTCACTGCTCCTAGAGGTTCAGTCCAGCCTCAATAACATTCCTTGGTGCTGAAAGGCTGGTCCTGATGCCAGTTCAGCCCCGATGACTGATCCAGGACAAGATGCCAAGTAAGGCCTGAGACCAGGGTAGATGGGCCTATGGATCTGATCTGGGGCCACAGATACCACTGGTTGTGTCCCTGGATCTGATCTGGAGGGAAATAGGGGGGATACCAGGCTGCCTGAGGGGGTTGATAGTGGGCAGACTGGGGCCTGGGGAGACTAGCCTGGTTGGCCCCTGGCAGGCCCCAGGGTACTTGGCTACAATACGTTCTTAGAGGAGAAGATGTAGGACAGCATGGTCACTCCCACTGCAGCCTCAAGACAGTGAATCCCCGTGCAGTCTTCGCCCAGGACTAGTCAGGTCCGACGGCGCCCAGGTCTCCAGCTAGTGCAGCCCAGTACAGGGCAGCTGGCCCCAGGAGCCGCCAGGCTGCAGAGCACAGAGTTAGCCTGAAGGCAGAAGCAGAGAAATGGGAGCTGAGAACAGGAGTCACTGCAGCAAAGTGGCAGAACTGGAACTTCCCATTGCTCCGGGGAAGTCACGCGCGGGAGCCTGAGCGTGAGGGGGCTTCCTGGGAACATGCAAGACAAGGGCCTTCCCCTTTGCAAGGAATGGGGGCCTGATGAAAAGAGAACCCCCAGCACTGTGGTAGCCGTTACTGGGAAAGCAGGGGCTGGGCACGCCAAGAGTCATTGGCTAGGGCAATCGGCTTGGTCAAGGCCCCTCACAGAGACCCTGCCCTGGGTCAGTCTGCGTGTGGTCAGTCAGCGACCAGGCTGAGAACTGGCCTTGACGTCACACACTGGGGTAGCAGCCCCAGCCCTCCTGAAGAGCAGTTACAGCGCTGGTGTCTGACAGCCAAAGAGTGAATCCCTTCATGACAGCCCCTGGCCCCGGGCCTGCCCCCTCCCCCCGCCCATGTCATCATTCCTGCCAGGCCAAACCCCACAGAAGAGAGGCATAAAAGGAGAGTGAGCTGGGCTTTGTGCCTGGTCCTACCAGTTTCTGCAAGCTGCAGGCATGTTCCCGTGAGGGGCACCGGCACCAAGGGAGTGTGTAGGGACCCACCGGCCGAGGGGTGCTGGTTATGTGAAAGAGTTGCTGCCCTCTACGCCCATGTGTGCGCTTTGGCCTGAGCCTGGCCCCTCCCAGCCCTATCGGGGAGAGGGGTGGAGAGGAAGCTCTGCTGAGTCCTCCCCAGTCTCTGCGCTCTGAGCTACGCAGGGCTCGGCTGCCCGGAGCAGTCTCGGCTGCTGTCGGGCAGGTTGGCTGGCAAGGAACGTTCCTTGCCAAGGGTCTGTGACGCTCTCTGGTTTGCAAAGGGGAGCTCGCTCCTGGTGTGCCTCAAAAAACGAATAATAATGTCCTACTTCCGGGAGGGGAGGGGGGTTAGCATGTGCTCCACCCCCCACCCAGCTCTTCTAACCCTAGAGCTGCATTGCATCCAGCAATGGCAGAAGCACACACACTGTTCCCACCTTTGGGTCGCCCTCTGGAACTCCCTCCATCCCCAGGTGCTCTGCCACACCTCCCCGCCCCCGTCCAGAACCACCAACACCCAGGCCTCTCTCTTGCCTTACTTGGGCCACCTTCCCGCCCTCGCCACCTTTTCCATCACCCGTTCCCCCGCCCTTCCCCCGGCCATCCTCTGCGCAGCCCCAGGCACGTATTGCTGGTCCCCCAGCGAACACAGGCATGCTCAGCGCTGCCCATGCCCACTGCTGCCCTAGTCCCGAGGATGGGCTCCGAGCAATGCAGGGCAGGGCCCCTCTCCCACCCTTGAGACGGGTTTGTGGTAAGCATGGAGCCTGCTGCCTCCCCTGTCCCCCCCCCACCCCTCCCCCACTGGGAATATGGGGGCATGCAAAGGAATCTGGTTTACGGTGAATCCTGGAACTAT